CACCAGCTCTGGTGTATGTGGCTAGAGCCTTAGCTGCTTGAGCTACAGGCATGGAGCCTGAATTGGGAATTTAAAGGAGGAATATACTAGAGTTCCCTCCCTCCCTCCTTCCTTCCTTTCTTTTTTCCTTCCTTCCTTTCCCCTTCCCTTCTCCCTCCCTATTTCTCATTATATCTTTCTCCAGTTTTATGAATTGTGAACTTAAACCATTTATAGAGGCTGGGTACGGTGGCTCACACCTGTAATCCTAGCACTCTGGGAGGCTGAGGCTGGTAGATAGCTTAAGCTCGGGAGTTTGAAACCAGCCCAAGCAAGAGCAAGACCTGGTTTCTACTAAAAATAGAAAAAAAACTAGCTGGGTGTTGTGGTGGGAGCTTGTAGTCCCAGCTTCTCAGGAGGCTGAGGCAAGAGGATCGCTTGAGCCCAAGAGTTCGAGGTTGCTGTGAGCTAGGACAAGACAGCACTCTACTAAGGGTGACAGAGTGATACTCTGCCTCAAAAAACCAAACCAAACCAAAACCACTTATAGAAAAATTGATCCAAGTTACCAAACAAATGTATATTATGATGAGTATCTATTAAATCAGCAGCTATGTAACCACCTCCATGTTCAAGGCATGGGATGCTGCTAACACCCATTTGCTCCTTCGAGTTCCTTCCTAACCACTCGAGCTCCCTGCCCCTGCAGGCTACCACTCTGCTGTCTTTACTCTTGGCTTCCCTATTAGTTTTACTGCTTTGTTGAAGTTTGCTTCTATGTGCTTTAGCTTAGAGGTCTTCTTTTTGGGCCATGCAAATTTTGTTCATCTTTTATTTTTCTGATTTATCCATATTGTTGTATGTAGATATAATTCCTTCATTTTTACTGTCTATATCTGGACTTTTAGGAACATGCCAAGAATACATACTGATTTTACTCCTGATGGACACTGAGCGGTTTCCCCTTCAGGGCTATTGCTAACATTACCTTTGAAAATTTTTAATTAATTAATTATTTTAGAGGTTGTACTAATCACCCAGCCTGAGTGCAGTGGTCTGATCACAGCCTGCTCCAACCTCCAACTCCTGGGCTCAAGTGATTTTTCTGCTTCAGTTTCCCAAGTAGCTGGGACTACAGGTGCACACCATCATGCCTGGTTAATTTTTTTTTTTTTTTTTTTGGTAGAGCTAGGGTCTCACTATGGTCTTGAACTCTTTTTTTTTTGGAGACAGAAACCTCAAGCTGGGACCACAGGTGCCCGCCACAACGCCCGGCTATTTTTTGGTTGCAGCCATCATTGTTGTTTGACGGGCCCGGGTCAGATTCGAACCCACCACCTTGGGTGTATGTGGCTGGCGCCTTAGCCACTTGAGCCACAGACGCCATTCTTGAACTCTTGACCTCAAGCATTCCTTTCACCTTGGCCCCCTCAAGTGCTGGAATTACAGGCATGAGCCATTGCACCTAGCCTGCAAATATTGCTTCCTAAACAAAATGTCCAGATCTCCCTGGTGTTGATCTTTTTTTTTTTTTTTT